CACACCCCGCTTCGCCCTTCGTGGCCTTCCTCTGTTCCTGGTTCCCCGTCACTCCCCCTGCTCTTCCGGTTCCCCTCCTTCTATACTCAACCCCTCTCCCCCCACGTGACCTAACTCCTCCCCCCCTGACGGCACCTCAGAAGGGCCGTTTACAACCGCATTACACCTGCACTAAACATTAAAGTATTTTTTAAACATCCCAGAGCGAACTGGGCGTGCCCTGCGGTGAGTTTTTTCCGCGTTTTCGAAGGCCAGATATCTGCCAATCTACCCTTTTAAAATGGTTAAAGATTAATCATCGTGAATTCGGTTGTTCCAATTGAATAATAACTCAAACAAAACAGTTTTTTGTATTCTCCTCGTAAACAGTTGCAAGCCTCTTGATCCATTTCAATCTTAAATTTCTTCAGAGCTTCTCTAACCCCATTGAAATGATGATTGCGCCCAGGATTTGCAACATCCCCAAGTGGATTATCCATTGACCTCTCTACAAGTCTACCCATAATGCAATATTGCCAATAACTAAAAAAAGTTACTTTTAATACACGAGTTTTTTTTAATAAACCCTCTTGATTATTGAATCGTTTGTCAGTCAATAACGAAAGATGGGTAACTAATTCACGTGCCAATTTAAATATATTTTTAAAAAATTTAGTTCTTATTAGCCCTACTCTTTGGTTCTTTCGGTAAAGTCACGTAGGTAGAAATAAAACAAAACAAATCACGATGTTTCGATAGCAACACAAGCCATCGTCTTCAGGTGAAAATCGCGATAGCCGCGATGTCTGCTGCGAGCAGCACGATGTCTGCTGCCTTGTGAAGAGAAGCTGTTACCAGCAAGAGTTTATATACGTTTTTGAGAACAAAGGTAGCCGAAGTAGTGTTAATGGGGTATTATTGTGTAAATGTAATAAATAGCGTGGCATGTTAAAGGAAATGAACTTAGATTAGCATGTTGGATTATAGTGCAAAAGTTAATGAGCTTCCATAGCGCATAAGAGCTCAGATTTGCATGTAGGATTAGCATATGTATTTTGATGAGAAAAGCATGTAAAAGTTAATGAAAAAATTAGCAAGTTAATGTCAGTCTATGTGTAACCAAGAGTAGCATGTTAAAGTTGATGAGAAAAGCATGTCAAAGTCAATGAGCGAAGTTAATGAGAATATCATGTTCAAGTCAATGAGAGATGAGCAAGTCGATGTCAGTCTATGTGTCATAAATAGCGTGGTATGTTAAAGTTAATGAACTTAGCATTAGAACGGCTCGGGAGAGAGAGAGAATATGTGTTTTAATGAGAGAAGCATGTAAAAGTTAATGAAAAAATTAGCAAGTTAATGTCAGTTTATGTGTAACAAAGAGTAGCATGTTAAAGTTAATGAGAAAAGCATGTAAAAGTACATGAGCGAATTCAATGAGAATATCATGTTAAGGGCAATGAGAGCTGAGCAAGTCGATGCAGTCATGCCGGTGGTTGAATGTCAAATCAATATTCTTATTAGCCCCTCCAACGCTTATCCCCTCTGTCTCTGGACTGCCTATCTCTGTGCTATGAAGAAGGCCCACTGCCCAAAACGTCACTGATTACATATTTTTTCCTTTCTATAAATGTGTGCTTGCGCACGATTGCCAACGCCCACCAAATAATTGAGTAATTTTTTTTTTCTGTTCAGTTGTGTGTAGTTGTCCATTTGTGGTTTTGTGTTGGTTCGCAGATAACATTGTGGTGTATTTGCCACGACATTTATAACGCAATTTACCCAGGAAAGCCTTTGGATTCCCAGGACTCGTTTCTGGAAGAGTTCTCAATTGAGATTCTCTTGACAGGAAAGTTTAAGTTTGAAAGAAAAAAATATACCGGCTGTGTTAATTTAATTGCTTTTTTTTGTTACAGAATGTTTCCGATGAAATGTTCTTTGATAATTGGATATTTTTCTTCTTTAAAACAGGCCTATGGAATATTTGTATTTTACTTGTTTGGCTGCTTTAGCCTATTGACATTTCGATAGGACATAATAAATGTTAGATTTGAATCGCTGTAAAATGTGTTCGGTGGGTTATGCCACGCAAAAACATGAAGACTGGCAGATGGTTTGGAAAAAAAAAATCCAGCAGTGGATTGATCATGTCTGAATCTACTCACTAATTAAGTCCAAGTGGTTTTGTGCTGTTAATTACGGCAATACTTTGAGTTGAATATTCACTTTTGCATTGCATTGTTATTTGTGTACATTCTCGATGCCATTTACAGAATGCTGATATATTCCCTTTGTGCCATTATAGTCACCAAAGCTCTCTGTTACTCAGACTCCTTTCACTCCAATATTGCACTTGTGTCCTCAAGAAACGTGGATTCATTCATAATGCCAAACATTTGCTTTAGCGAGCAGCAACTCTTAATGACATTTCAAATTGTGGTTCCATCCCAGAATGAAGGTCTCTTCCTAATTTTTGGCAGTCCCAAGTTACCCTTACACATCGCAAAACCAGACATTTTTCAGTCAGCCAGTGGTCTATAAATCTTGTAAGACAGTTTAACACAGTACCATCCACATGTGCTAACTCCTCTAAGGCGATCCTGTGTTGATGCCACACCAGGGCAGCCCAAAAAGCACTCGCCACGAGCCTGTACCATCAAATTAGCCCCAACAAACACGATGTCACCAAGTACACCATGCCCCCCAGCTCAATTCAGATCTCGGTACAAATCAATTCTTGCCACCCGAAACACGGATGCCTATTCTCGTACTGCCTTGGTCAAAACCCCTGTTAACCCAGACGGGTGGCAATCTTTGTTAAACCATCTTGGAAAAATAAAGTCTAGCAAAAATTACATTATTAGTTGACCTATGACTGCATCTACGGAACCTAAGGGTATAACTGTCTGATGCACATATTGCCTTAAATCATAAGGGAGTTCAACATTTCTAAACCCTGTCCCTTCCTCCTTTCTGTTTATGTCCCACCTCCATTGCTTCTTAGGCACTGCCTTTTGCCTGATCATGCCCCCCCCCCCCGTCTCTTCTGCGCCTTTCCCTTTTTAGGCACTGCCCCTCATTTCGGCCCTCTCCCCTTTGGACACATGGTTGGGCTGTTTTGTCTTTCCTTTGTCAACCTGTCCAAGGGCAACGTTTTGCATCTTTTTATTTGGAAATTTTAATCGTATAAAATATATCACCTGGAGAACCCCTTGAGATGGAAAGTCTCATTACTAAGGGTGTGAGGTTGACGCGTGCATAACGCACACGTAATGAATGACAACTTTAAAGTAACAAACACCTCATTTGACTTGTCTCTTGCATTCAACGTGTACCCTCTTTAATAGCTGCTCGATGCTATCACCTTTGAATGGGTTTTGCTGGGCAGTGATTCATTTTTCATTAAAAAATCCATTATAGTATTGTTCCAATACTTCAACTTATGAAGACCCTAAAATAATTTTCCAGTTTCTTTAAACATATTATTCACCAATCTCTTTTATAAAAACATATTTTACATGGATAATCCCTTGAGATGGAAGATCTCATTTCCAAAGGTGTCCACGGGAGGGGGTTCATTTGGAACATTAATCACAAACACATAACATCCATAATAGAGGTTTTTTGGGTTAGATCGTGTAAATATAAATGTGTCGTTAAACCCGCCACCTCCCGACACAGCCAATTAGTAAGGTTTGACACGTAAACAAAACATGCCAATTAGTTACTATTTCAGCGCACCGGTGTGTTGGAAAGTGAACCCACAACATTTACAATTCAAGTACGACGTTTTGCCGACAATTACAACCAGACTCATCAGGCGAAAGTCTACATGTTAAACAAACACATAACAACCCACACAAACATTTTTAATCTATGAATTGTGTGCCATGAACATCTGAAAGTCGAATCACTTGTTGTACTGACTTATATTATTCTTAGTATTTACGAATTTTTTTTCCTTATCACAGACTCAATTCAACAACACTTTTATATCACACCACGTAGCGTTACACTATGCTATATCAACCAATAACCTGTTCTGCATTTTGTCTAAATGTAAGCATTAAACAGTATACGTTTCCTCGTGCAATTGTTTAATTAATTCCTAACATTAAACTTCTCTTAAAAGTGCATTGTTCCAACAAGACATGTAACTTTTTGTTAAACCGCTGTACTCACTTGGACATTTTATCTACCTTGTGACATTGTATTATATCTGAGGTCGGTTATAGATATTTATAAAACCGAATTCAGACTCGTACACATAATTGAGATGCTCAGCAGTATCATCTGCTTTAAAATCTATATGTATTACATTACATTTACTGTCGACAAAATGCATCACTTAATCAACGCTAAACTAAAATTTACATGAAGTCAGTCTCGAATATGTACAGTGCGTAACTGCGTACGGCAGCTGAAGAGGACTGCATTAAATGTACGATAAATTCTGCATAGCAGCACAGATACCACACTTCGAGCAAACATGACACATTGTATTTTTGATAAATAAAAACGGACGACTGGCGTCTATAGTAAGTTATCTCCATGATGCCGCAGTTGTACATTTAAATGTTTAGTTTTTGCAACAAAAATACGTTCGTGTTGCCTCATTCAATAATTTATGCCTGATTTATATATATATATAATTTTTTCTATTAAAAAAAACCTAAGTTTAAGACGGAACAATGTCCACGATTCTTTAAATTATTTCCGTACCATGCTCCGAGCTGCATTTTGTATTTGAGGGGTACATTATTACAAAACTCTCATTACCGCTGGAACTAAAAAGCCACACGAGTGCCTGCTACAAGCAGAAGCGCACGGACCTCAGACTGCGCATATTTGTACACAGAGGACATTTCAAATGCATGGCAGTGAAACTCCTATAATTCGGCAAGTTGCTAGTAGCACATAAAATCGCCCACGTGATCGGCCCCACACTGCTGCGCACAACTTTCTGTGTCCGCAATGCCGCGTTGTATCCTTTAACCGCGGTGTGCGTGATGTTGTCGTTGCAGCTGTTGAGTGTTGGTCCCGTGCGAGCCGAGCCGCGATGGGGTTTATCGTGGCGCTGCTCGTCCTGGGCGCGTGGTGCGGGAGTTGCTCGGCCCAGGGACAACCCAGAGCTTGCCTTGCGGTCGGCAAGAGTGACAATTGCACCTGCTCCAGCGCAACGACATCATCGCCTGAAACTGTTGACTGCAGTAGCAAAAAGCTGACCGCTGTTCCGACTGGGATTCCTGCAAACACCGAGACGCTGAAGGCAACTCAAAGTTTTGCGAGCTGAGAGGGGACTCGGTGACCTTGAAGGCGGGGGGGGGAGATTTGTTTTTTCTGTTAATTATGCTGCGAAGGGCATCTCCTGTAATTCACATTGTAACGCAAGCAGTACAAAACACCAATGCATTTCCAACCTCTGGGATTGTGAATGTGCTAGCATTATCTATTTTGTAAATTGGCTGAAAGAAAACCCAAAACACGACTCTGGTGCATCTTGTAAAAAACCAACTGGAACGGCCGTCAAAGATGTTAATCCAGAAGACATCAAGAATGTGCCTTGCAATCACGTATATCCAACTCCCAAAATTACAGCATCGTCTCCCACCCCTGCTACATCCATCTTCATAAAGGAGTTAAATTCGACCACCAATCTCAATGCAATCCATGAGCACAGAACGCACACGGATGTGTGTAACATGCCTTTTGTCTCACACATGTGCTTGCTATTTTGTAATTTATTTTCAACGTGCTCGCTTTGTTTCATTATAAAACCGCTGCACCGTTATTGAGTGGTAAAGTAGACATCCCCGTTGCATGGCGACAAAAATAGGGACCACGTTATTCTGCATCCTGCTATTGAGCTTATGGAGCACAAACAATAATGAAATTAATGCAGTGTATACTAAACAGGCTTATGATTGTGCTTTGTTGTAGTGATGCCCAGGCTTTCGCAGTCATTTAATCTATTTCCCACTGCTATATCGTCGATAGTTAAATTTGTTATACTCTAGGCCTGCTTTTGAATGGGACATTCCGATAAATGTCAAACACCATTTCATAAAGTGGCATGTTGTAAAGATAAATGTGTATATTGACGAAAATGAGCGTATGGGTGTTGCTATGGCTTGTGCTTTTTTAATCTACATTCTGCAAATGTACAACAGCCTACAGTATGCATTGCAACTTTGTTTTCAAACGTAACACCATGACTCGTAGCCAATGAGATTACCACTTTCTTTTTTAGTACAGGTTAGGATAGCCGTCAAAATGTACTTTCTGTCCCTCCACTGTGGTCTAGAAGACCAATATAAAAGACGGTACTTGAATCAGTCAGGGGTGAAGGCACACAATGTTGGTGTGATCAGGCTATGAAAAAAACGGGCAAAATTAGATTGTAAATGTGGACAAAAAATCCCTTAAGCGGGTTTACCTCAGCACAATGAGTCCAAACCGGGTTTGTATTTTTAAATGTGCACTCTGCGAGGAGAGCCTGATATTTCGTTACCACTTCGTTCAAAGCAATAACAGGATAAACTTTCTTGAGCGAGAAGACGTTAGTGATGCTACGTCCTGCCAGTACAAATGCACGACCTTGTTCAACGAAGAAATGAGAATACAAGCAATGGCATACAACATAAGCTTTGCGCCAATCAGGCTCGGCTAAATGGTCGTTGAGGTACGGCATCACAGATCCATGTCTATGATATGGAGGGACGAGCTGAATAACACGTGCGCTACACAGCGGCACTAATACAGCACGTGGTCCTGTAGATGAGTGTTGAGGCCCGTAGGTTTGCGCAATAGTTGTTAGCCTTCAGACAAAGTTGCCAATGCTTCAGAAATGCCTGTAGGTGTTTATCTTGGTCAGTTCTGGCATGCTGATTGCGAGCTTGGGCTGAGATGTGACCAGGAGACGGTTGTACAGTCCCGACAATTACATCTTTGAGGAGCTTTTGAGCGTTGCCTAAGCTCCCGGGTGCATTGGTTCTCTCTTTCCCACGTGCTGCACTCTCGTTGTGGAAGGGACTAAGCGGAGTCAAAGTGGCGTCGACGTGCAGCGAGGCTCTGCTGTGCAATGCGCATTACTGTTATACTCTACACGCATCATACATTTACATATTTGGAACGCAGCAATTTGAAGGACTTTCTGAAAAACGGGTTTCCTAAACAGTTGACATTTGAACAACTGCTGTCCATAGGCCTCCTTAATCTATCTTTAGTAATTTGAAAATGTATAAAATGACCACACTTTGCATGAATATATTTGCCATTAAACTTTCCATTAAAATAACTCGTCTGCTTGAAAGTCTTGTTCAATGGCTTACTGTAAGTTTCCTCTATATACAGGAATGCTCGCATGCAGCATCATGAGGGGGGGCGACTAATATCATGGATCCTGTTGTTACCCCGTGGTGTCCTCTGAGTTTTCCTGGGCCACGCTGCTCGTGTGGATAACAGGAGTCACTGGTAATAAGATTGCGGATAACAGGAGTTCTGTACTTTTACAATATTGTAGACTGTGAGCAGCGATTGTAATTCCCTTCGCTGTACCGAAGATAACTGTGAATTCTCCTGACACAGCGCTTATACCCACATCCCGTTCCAAAATCCACTCTGTTTCACTACACCAACCACACCACTGGTTTCATCCACAGTATTCTCACAAAATACGGTCGTCGCGTGAGCCAATACCATACCGGCCTGGACCACAATCGTTCCCGGACCCACATTAAGCACTTGTAAGAACGGCTCCTGGTCGAGGCGAAGGACCATCTGTGCGCCTACCAGCGCCAATCCACAGGTCGCCGTGTTCGATGGAGTCAGAAGGACGTCCGCCTTCGGATCAACCTTTCCCAACTGCATGCGATAGCATAACGGTACAAGCATCTGCGAGCCCGGTGGAATTTCCACCGAGTCCCTGGCAAGGGCTTGGACCATGACACTCGCTGTTGTACTCACATGCAGAGACGCCAAAAAAAACAACTTGCGACCCAACGGCATTTCCACAGAACCCTGATCGACCAGGATCTTAACGACCATTTTTCTCAGAAAATCGGTACCCAAAAGGCAGGGCACCGCCAGCGTCCTTGAGATTAGCACGGGTCCAACTACAGCGACCTCGCCAATTTCGATGAGGGCCTCCACCTGCCCAATGATACCCATGCTCCCACCGTTCACCACGACGCAAACATTTACAACAGGTCGCACTCATCGTTCAGACATCAGCAACAATTGGAAAATGACATCGGAAAAAATGGTGGCCGAGGGTCCCATCTCCACCAATACACAAACCTCATTTCCCTGAAAAGAGCCAGACACTGCTGAAGAACCCGCAGCCGCCGTGATCACTCAATGCGCCAATTTCCTCCACTGTGTCCCCGAGCTAGGCCACCGCTGTGTAACACAATTTCGTTGCCTGGTGTCAATGTGTGTGCCTTGCTAGGTGGAGATAACCCTCGAACCCTTAGATGTCTGAAATTGTAATATGGGCCGGATGTCTAATGTGGCTCGACCCGCCTGTTGGGGTTGAGATGTAGCCGTCGGGTGGAACTATGGGCGCCGGAGTCATGGTTGCTGCCCGAGGAAGGTTCTGACATCCTTGCACGAAGTACTCCGGCTGGCCGCATTGGAAGCAGGTAAGCGAGGGCCTCCGTAGCATTGAATCCTCTTGCTCACACGATCTCCAAATCCTCTGATGCCGTGCGGCATCCCCTTTCCTCCGACTCCACACTGGGAACACAGCAGCGATGTCCTCAGAAGTCCCATTCTCAGCTGGCTGCACCATGACGTTCTGTGGCGACCACCCCTTCAGCACCCCATCTCGGCTGGGGTCCCCTGTCCATGCCACCATTTGAGATGCAAATTCTCGTGGGCCTGAAGACATCTGGCGGCCCACCGGTATGTCTGTTCATCTTCGTCACACACAGGCACGACAACCCCCATCACTCGTGCCAGTCCCAACATCCTTTTCATGACGAGCTAGTCGAGGGCTTTCGGATCCTGCTCCCACCAGCACACAATGCGCTGCGGTAGGCGAGAGGCATCTCGGCCTCCCCTCGCCTCCGCTGAAGAAACTTGCTGTGTGTGTTGGAAGGTGACTCGTACACGTCCACCATTTCAGCATAAGCACCTTGAAGTGTAGACTTCTTAGTAGCGGGAAAAGCCCTGAAAACAGCTAGAGTGTAGTCATACAATACAGTCGGCAGAGCTATCAGCACCTCATCTTCCGTCCAATATACCGATTGAAAGGCAGCCTCAAATCGCCAAGTAAAAGCGCTCCAATCGCCTCTTGCCGCGACTAATTATTTAACTTGAGGTAATCTTAGAGTACATTCGGTTCCTCTTTCCTCACTCCTAGAGGCGAGTACCGCATCTTGCGTATCATGCTTGTTTTGTAAAATGGCGGACTCGGTTCGCGCTTCCCCCATGCCACCCATAATGGCGGCTTCTGGCTGCGTGTTTTCCATGCCACGTGTAATGGCGGCTGTCGCGCTTGCGGACGTTCCCACCAGAACGTCAACTCCCGGCTCCTGGTTGCTCCTTCCCAGCGATGTCAGTGCAATGCGCCCAGCCATCGTCGTCTCCATCATAAGCGTCAGCAACTGCACGACAACCACCCACAACAGGTCCAGCTGTACTGACACCATCCGCCAGCTGTCTTCGGGCTGCTGGTGCGGAGTGGCTGCTCCCGGTTCCACCATCTCTGGCGCAGCCAACTCACTCGCCGCGGCTTCAATAACCGGGACCACGGTTCCTGGGATTGGTAGAAGGTTTTGGGTTGCATTTTCATCGTCGTCGGAAGACACCACAGGTGGGTTCCGTTTTTGCTGATGCTTAGACATACTTCCTTTTTCGCTGTCAAGCACTAAATAATGTTTTCAACCACTTCTGACTCAAATGGAATGAGCGACTTTCGCGACACGTCGTGTAGAGGGTACTTATTTATTAGTCACACTGGGCATAACACAGGCCAATACTTATTCCTTCTCACACTCGGTATTAACGTCTCTACTGGCTACACACAGTCGATCACTTGGCGTAGTCCCATCGCCATCAGTCGGCTACGCTGCTGGCTGGCTAGTGTGACGATGATGGTGATGGAAACCACGCAGGAGATCTTCCACGTGGCCGGACAACGGAGAGAGATGTCGGCAAGCAGCGACGCAGCCAGGACCCACGACTCCACACGAGCCCCGAGCCCTGGGTCCGCTCCTCCTTATACCCCCCCAGGTGTGGCTAGGTCCCGCCTCCGGCCATGTCCTCTCGTGGAACCTTCGAGCAGATTCCCGGAGTGTCTCGGCTACCCCCACCTTTTACATTTTCCCCAGATACACCTCCTTCTCTGATTGGTTGTTACTTAACCGTACCCGTGATCCCATTCCAGGCCAGCAGGTGTCACTCTGTCATTACACCTGTATTATTGTGTTAAAAGTATTTGGACCGTTGTCTAATTTCTTATGGTGTATAATCTACAAAAAGGACCAATCCATCATAGATACATTTGATGTCTTTAAAATGCCAGTGGAGCTTCTGAATTGGGAACCGCATCTGACCAAACCCAAACATTTTGTTGCTTGGACTTAAAAGACACAAACAGAAAAACAAGTTACAATATCCAGTCATTAATATGAAACTGAGAATACTGCCAAAATAACGTAGAAGTCATTTGCACCATCATAACCTAGGGGTGGTCCTGGTATGGCTCAGACACAATTTTCCATTCATGTTGAAGCAGTGGTTCTTAACCTTTACTGCAGCCTTGCATCCCATTGGTTCTCAATTGCTAAAACATGTGTAATGTAGCACTGAGAGACGCTGTCTTCTTAAGTTATATATATATTTATTATACAATACAGTCTACCCGACTTGATGACGTGCTATCAGAGGGATGCAGGTTGACTATATTACAACTGGGTGACTCTATGTGGCTGCTACACGAAGTTTACTACATAGCTGACTGACTATAGAGGAGCCAACAATGTAGTAGCCACGGCGGAGATATATAACTTCCTTCGCTAGCCTTCCAAAACAATGAGGGCGATCCAAAAAAATGACAGCGACGACGGTCCGGACTCTGACTCCCCACAGCAGCCCTGAGCCCCGCTCTGTGCTGCCTTTTAATCTCCCCTGGGCTCGGTCATGTCCCTTTTCCAGAATGCTCTCCTGTCGGAGATTTCCTTAGCCTCACAAACACCTCGTGGGTTTTACCCCTCCCCCCACGGTGACTCCTCACCCAGTTACCTCACTTGACCCTGCCTGTCCTCATCGCTTTAATCCTTATTTGCGGCCATTAGGCCCCATACTGTCCTTACACATGTGTAGTGCAGTCCAACCACGTGGAGATGAGTAATACTATTGGGCTGATTGCCATTTATTAATGCATGCTCTCACACTGTATCCTACACTCACACCAGTGTACTTGCACTATATTCTCTGTCCTTCACTTGGTCCTGGGATAATTATATACGTCGGGCCCACTCCGGCTACTTCTAGGCCCTCTCACCCATCTGCCCGGGCGGGGGATCAGCCAACATCACCCCATGATGAGGAGAGAGACCTCTTCCAGCCGATCTTTACCCTGGCTCCCCACGACGACCCCGTGCACATCACATGGGCCCCCTTAAAAAACCCTTTTGGCAGCTCCTCCCCTCAGCTCGGCCCCGCCCACTTTCCCAAAAGTGCTTTCCAAAAGTCCCCCTACGTGACCCGTGAATGTTACGTCATCCTTGGCCTCGCATAAATCTCCACCAACTCGCACTTCCTTACGCTCATCCCTCATTGACTACTCACAGTACTCCTTTACACATGTGTAAGGACAGTACAGGGTGATGTAGGAACAGTACAGCTCCCCATGGCCATGGTTACTAATTAACGTGACAGAAACAGACAGGGTCACTTTAGGGTAATGTGGGATCTAAGTGGTCATTAATAATTATTGATGCTACGGGCACTGACAGGGTCGCGTGAGGAGAAACACGGGACCTAAACGGACGAAAAATTGTAATTTGGACAGACAGACAGGGCCAGCTGTGGGGAGAGAGGATTCGGGAAGAGGGGCGTGGCCGGGTCGTGAGAGGGATAAAAGCCGGCTTGGAACAGGGCTCTGGGCTGCTGTTGTGAGGTAACCAAGGAGCTGTCGTCGCCGTCGTCATTTTGGAGCGGGTTGTCTTCATCGTCCTGGAATGGGCACCTTGTAGTCTTGGAAGGCTAGAGTTATATTGTTTCCGTGACTGCTATGCATCCGCTCCTGTGTAGCTAGCCAACTACACAGGGAGAGTTGCG